CTGTCAGGTGAAACGAAGGAGTACCTCTCGGTAAACCGCCTTGGAGGGTTCGCGGATGCAAGCATGCTTGGGGAGGAGTTCCTTAACCCTCTTAACTTCTCGGTAACCCTCCGCGCATGATTGTTCTGAAGGTTGGAACCCCTATCATTATGATTAGAAACCTGAATAGAGACGCAGGCCGTTGCAACGGAGCGCGGCTTTGGGTTGTGTCACTGCGCGAGAGAAGCATCGAGATCAGCATTATGTCCGGGCCGTTCAAGGGTAAGAAGGTGTTCATTCTTCGGATCGTATTTTATAGTGAAGACGATGACAAGCAGTTCCGGTTCAAACTGAAGCGTAAGCAGTTCCCAGTGGATCCAGCGCTCGCCATGACTACCAACAAGGTCCAAGGACAATCGATTTACCACGTGGGTATCTACCTGGAATCACCGGTCATCGCACATGGGCAGCTTTATGTGACGTTATCGAGAGTGACTTCAAGGAAGGCGATCAAGATTGCTGTGGATCCCGAGGCCATCGATGAGGAAGGGAACGTACACACCAACAATATGGTGTACAGGGAGATCTTTGGGTCGCGGAGTTGGCAGGGCACGTAGTAAATATAATACGTTCAGCTTTGATTCCAAAATGTTCTTTAATCCGCCGCAGCGCAGCGGAGGCGGCCAGCCCACACTACACCAACCAACCATGCCCTAGCGTCCGCGGATCTGGCGCCCAGAGCACTAGTCTTACACATCTATTGCGGCAACCTGTCTGTCCGTCACATTAATTGTGGTGCCTGTCACGCTTTTCGGGACAAATCAATGGACAAAAATATTCCACGATTTCTACTGGCTGTCGAGCGCATCGAAGGCGGCTCCAATCAGTTAAAACTGGATTGTGTAGCTGACATCAGTAAATGTATGTATACATGTACATATAGGGATTTGCACAAGACTACTGTATCCATTATCTGAAGGCGGCATCGTTTTAATACTTTTGACGTTTTTAATAATGCATGTTGTTATTGATATTCGACTCGAGTTATTAATGCTAATATGTTTACAACAAAACAATTGTAGTTAAAATTTAGTCACTATAATTACTGAAAACAGAGTATTACATATATCAGTAGTATGTCCTCAGAAACACGCATTCCTACGTGTCCGCTAAGGAGCTTGCAGCAATGGAAGCAAGCCCTCAGTTTAGCACTCGAATATTAAAAACAACTTGCATTACTGTTTTAAAAAAAGTAAATAACATTAAGCTGAGGGCCAATGCTGCAGAGTGCTTAGCGTATACGTAAGAGTGCGTGTATCCGAGGACATGTTTTTGTACTCAGTAGTTTCTGCGAGCTACAATGGCTAAAATGATAAGTACAATTGTTTTGTTGTAAGAAATATTTCAATAATAAGTTATCTGAGTGGATTTCTATAAGGTATTGCATGTACAGCAGTAGCTGGCCGTAAGGACTGACCGCAAGAACAGCGCTGTGCTAATAAACATTTTCCCCTGGGCCACAAAGATAGATAATTTTAGATTGACATGTGAGCAAAAAGAACTATATTAATATGTGCTGATGACAATTATCACTGTAAGCGAATTGAACTTGACCATTGTTTTCTAAGCGTTTTTTTTTAGACAGCAAAATTCTGACACTTCTTAATAGGCGGACGTGGTGCCGACAAGGGCGTAGAATAAGGTTTTACATGAAGCGGTAAGATAACAGCACGACATGAGAGGTGTAAATTATGGTCATTTTAAGTAGACTCGTACTAATAAACTTAAAGCCTAATACCGTCCTGGAATCATCGTTAAAGTATCAAATAAAAAACACTGCCGTCAACAACAACAACAGCAAGGCGTCTTGCGACGTATCGTTATATCCAAATGCTATATCCACAACTGGCACAGATTAGAGTGTCTAATGACTAAATCTGAATCAGCACAAAATGAACGCATTAAAAATGTTACATTTTGAATATGTTTTACTTCAATGTAGCTTTCACTGAGTTTGGTATGGGAGAAGTGATTAATCGGTAGGAGAGAATGCGTCCTACTAGGAGTCCTAAAGTGTCCTATTGTCCTAAAACCTGGGATAAAAAACTAGCAATTCGGCTCATAAAAAAACCGATATTTAGGACAGCACAATGAGTTTTAGGACGAAACAAGCCAGGGTCCGCGTGTCCTAATAGGACACTCGACAACTGGACACTCAGCTGTCCTATTAGGACAGACTGCAACTCAGACCACTGTCCTATTAGGACAACACCAAGCCCAACATGTACTGTCCTCAAAACATCCTCAACTGGCCTAGCTAGAAACAATAATCATCTTAACGCCCCTCTCTCCAAGAGCAGCCGACTCTTGTTGTGCGCGAAAAGCACCTCAACGAAACTTTTCTACTTCAAAGTGTGTGACAATATTTTTAAAGTGTTTCAAAGGATGATAGTCATTGAAGGTAATAATAGCCGCTAATAACGGTTGAGCGACTTCAACATGCACACAGCAAACGACGGTTAATAATCAGAACGTGACGACATAGGGGGGAGGGGGCTCAAAAAGCAGCAAAGTACTCGCAAGGGCTACTTGGCTGCAAGTCGATCCGAAGACGCGGTTAGCAAGCGATGGGGGTCTTGGTTAGCGCGGCAGTGTGCTTGGCCTGGTTCGTCGAGTTGTCTGGCGTCGTCGGGGTGTCGACAACAGGTGCGTTTGTGGCAGGCGAGTTCGGGCTGGGAGCCGACGTCGATGGGCAGTTGGACGGCACGTAGACTACCAGGTCGGCCTTCAGGTTGGAACCGACACCGACCGGCAGTTGGCACTCCTCCAGGTTCATGGCCTTCACGTCAGCGAGCAGGGTGTTGCAGGCAGTCGAGGCGCACATCTTGTCAATGGTGGCCTGGTCCGGGATCTCAGTGGTCCGTGCCGCACTGTTGAACGTTCGCGCTCGTGAGCAGAGCGGACAAGACATTGCTTCCGCAGGTGGCAGCAGAGGCCAGATAGACGAGCGCCCTAGCTGCAGAAGGAGTAGCCGCGATGGTCCATGATGCTTGGGGAGATTCAGAAATGGTTGGTGTGCCCCAGGACAATAAGTAAAGCCAATGTGAGTTTTAAGTAACTCTTACGTAAATTTACGTAGATAGTCCGGAAAAAGTTATTATTTGAGGTTTAGGACAATCTGGAGGACACAAATTATAATATTCTGTAACGAAGGATTAGTCGCTTTTTAGGACACATCTCCAAAATCTCCCTGTAAAATTTAGGACAAATAGGACAGTTTAGGACGTGTCTTAGGACGCATTATCCTACACCGATTAATCTTAAGTTATTACAAGCTTAAACAGGCAGTACAAGCGGCTATTTGACGCAAGCTGGACATGCCATTTCTATCCTTTGCATTGATGCAAGCTAGGTTTCATAAACGGCCAACGAAATCGAGCACAACGCTAATTTGAAGTGTAGGTGATTCTGGGTGGAAGATGAAGGTACAGTGACAGTCAACAATAATAAACAGACTTTGTCAAGATCACTTGAGTTTTATTTTTAAGCATGGTAAGTATGATGCTAGGGGATCAGTATTTTGTAGAAATAATTGCACGGCTAACTGAAACTCAGCATTTTGTAGCAAATGAAACCAAGATTTATGAAATAAAAGAAGTAAATTTAGGCGGATGGGGGCTCAGAGATTTTGGAATGATTATCCCGCCGAAGCGAAGCGGAGGCGGGAAGGCGAAGATCTAATATAAAACCTAAACGACCGCCGCGTAGCGGCGGCGATCGGCTAGTGGTTTTCAGTTTTATCTAAGATGCATCTTGGTATCTTGTACAACATTCGTCGAAATGGGAGCGGCAGTCGAGCCGCACTTATCGATGCAGCAGGTGTGGAAGTCATCGCCGGAGTTACCTTCGTCACGGCATTCCTTGCTGACTGCAAGGTTTGCTTCTCAGTATAACGTCTGACAGCCCGTCGAGAAATTACAATACGGCGGCGGCCTATAGAATGTGTCGTCTGCCGTGACGGCGGTCGCGACGACACCGAAGAGAGCGACGAAGGTATGAATCTTGAATTTCATCAAAGTGCTCGCGGAGGTGTGTCCGGTGTTGAGCTAATAACGGACCGACTCGAAGAATCAGGGAGCATTATGGTGATTACCAACTGCGCAAACAAGTTTGCATATGTTGGTTACGTAACAAGAAACACAGCATGGTCAAAATGTCCTCAGACCAACAACATCCTGAA